CACCCGTGTCCTTAGGCTACACCCACAGCATTTGACATCACTGTCTTTGAAAGAATTCACATGGCGCTACCCAGGAAGTAAAATTACATCGGGATGCCACCGTCAATTTTCATGCTCGGCTACAGCCTGCTTAAAAACACGAATTACCTTCCTTTTCGATCATGTAACGATTATCTGTGCCGATCAGATGTACCAGAATTTAACGAAACGTTATACGGGCCTGTGAGTGGTATGTGTACAGGGATGTGAATGTGTTATGAAGGCATGTTACTCACCAGCGTGTGGTTTGTAACGAGGAGCGAAACGGTGTCGTTGGTGGTGTCGAGGTAGGCGAGCGCGCCCTCATCGGTTTGAAATATGAAGTGTGTGTGGGAAATCCAGACGGGTGGCATATGTCGCGGCGTGAGGTCGCCCTGCAGGTACTCGCCCAGCTTCATACGTCGCCCGCTCCAGTACAGCATCTCGTCGACGTAACCCAGCAGGTAGATAGCCGTCAGGATGCCCACAATCACGAAGCCGATGACCAGCAGCGACAGCACAATGCTACGCCAATTGTTGCTGTCATTAGCTCCGGCCAGCACCAGGTCCTGGGCAGGGATGACACAGATAATAACCGGACATAGGGATCAGTCATGTAACGTGTATCAACACAGTAGAAAAGCGGAGAATTGTAAACACTTCGAAGTCAAAGCTCATCTTCTGAAACAAGACTGGAAAATTGTAATGCGTACTGAAAACCACACATGCTCTATTTCAAAATTTTAAGTACAATAAATCAATACGAAAATGTCATAACGCGCATTATCTATGTAGTAGCATACTGGACTCAAACCTTTGAATTGAATGAATTGGATCGTGGTCAAATCGAATTTTTATTTTATTTTTCATACAGCCGCCATATTTTTGCATTGCGCAAAGAATTACTATACCGAAGTTTTGCATTTTCAGAAAATCTTTCACCAAACATTGTTGCATGCTTCCAAATCAGTGCAGCGGTTGACGAGGTGATTCATGCTGACGGACAGTCAGATATTACCAGCCCTATATGCATTAATTTTGTGATTATCGCTCAAACAACGAATAATAAATAAGGTAGAAAAAAGTAAGAAAGAACGGGACTGATTCTTAGTTCATTCAAAGGTGTCTTTTCAATTATGTAGGTTATGTATTGGCGAATGGTAGATTTCTAACAAATATGAATTGAAAGAGACTTCGAGAAAAGCAATGACGGCGTACCTTAATATAAAATGGCAGAATTTTCGTGAAGGAAATTATAAATCCACGAAATATCTTTGTTATAGTAGGCTGTTATCTGCACGATATTCGATCCAAGTATCTCTAGAATAAGAGGCAAGAATACGAGAAAATTATTAGTGGCATTTGGTGAGAAATTAAGAGAAGAATGTAAGATAATGACAAATAAAACAAAGAGAAAGGAAGGAACCGTAGAGAGAAATATGTTTATTTTCATTTTGAGAGCAAAAAGCGTTTAAAGGATGGGAGAGGAAAGGAAGTAAGAAGATCAAGTCAAAGAAAGAAGTTGAACAAGCTGGTGGAGACAGAAAGGATAAATGAATTGACGGAGAAAAGAGACAGACAGCGTAGTGAGGGAATCAAGCAGGTCTATATAATTAATGAAGAGGAAAACAAGTTTGGGCGGTCTGAAGTGAAAACAACGCGTGCCGACGTGGTTCCGGGCATTCCTCTCGACGTCACACGGTGCCCAGCAAAGTGGCTCTACTTACAGTGTATAACACCAGGGTTGTAACCACATAAACACAATTTCAGGGCATCTCTTACACAAAGTTCCATGTTGAAATAAATGGACATGACTCATGCGAGACCAACTCTTAACCATTTAAATCCCAGTGGTAACTACATGTTTCACATTCTTTAACCAGTTGATAATTTTAATGGAAGTGGTGCTTTCTTTGCGGTGCGAATTGAATTTTTAATTACTAATGAGTCTGAAAAGTAAGGACAGTAGTGGAATATTTTCGTTGTATGATGAGGCCTGGTCATGCTGTAGCTCGTCAGACGGGGACATGCTGCGAGTGTGGTTCAGCTGTAGTCCATTTGTGCCAAGTGATGAGAGCGTAGAAATGACTGCTTCACCAGAAATTTGCACCAAGGACAGGCAAACGCATTCTCAAAAAAATAATTTTTGCAACTGAACGGAGGTTGGTGCAAGACTGGACATTAATCTTGCTCGTCCTTGGTGCAGACCTGTAGTGTAGCAACTGTCTTTATGCCACACTTACTCGGCACAAATTTACAGAAGCTGCAAGTTACCGTCTTACCTTGAGGTATAATATGGGCAGGCCTCATAAGAGTTGATAATCAAACAACGAAGACACCCCAATATCGCATTTACTTGTTGAATCTCCCTAATATTTTTAGATGAGTGCCGGCTTCAAAGGGCTAATTCATCACTCATTTCGCATGCGTATACCTACACAAATAGGATGAATTCCGCATTACCTACTAAAGTCTCTTGTGCCGGTCTTCTTTCAATCGCTTAATATGGAAGTACAGCGCCACCGCTACGTAAGTTGTGCATTAACCGACTAAGAGCCAGCTGCTGGTTTGATTATATACAACCTTTGTACAAACATTGTAATGAAGTAGAGTCACAAAATAAATGAAGATGTATTTTCAGGCAAGAGATAAAGGAAAAAAGAAAGGTTAACAGTTTGAGTACCTACAGCAATACGAAATAAAGACTTGTTTTCTATCAAGTGTAACTGAATTCCTTCTAACAAGTTTGTACCAGACAAAACTTCTACATTTATTTGGAGTTTAGGTTAAGATTGCATTACATGTCGTAGTTTTGCTTAGGACAAGCTAGACGGATTTCGGATATTTCCAGTAACGGGTTTGACTTCTGTATGGATATTGTCTTTAGCAATTGTTTTCATACGCTAACGAAAGTTCTGCAGTGTCTTCATTGGAAAGTTTTGCGAAGGTATTACTTCTAACTTTTTGCAGAGTTCATAATGAAATTAGCTTGAGGGCAATAAAATTAAATGTAAAACGAATTAACAATGCAAATTAGTCCTGCACAATAACGGACAACGCATTTGAAAAATATACGCACTTCACTGTAATATTTTTATCATCATTTAGTTAAATCTGGCGTTTAAGTAACATTATCAGCTTAAAAATTCCCTACAAAAAATTATGAACTACTATAAAAGTTTTCTTTTGTATTACATATGATCGAATATAACAAATCATTCCATCCGTTAGTCTACAATTTTAGCACACCTATTTCTTCGTGTTAAGCAGTCCTTTTGAATTTGTGGTAACTACATAAGAAGCCACGATACAACAGTGCTCAACAAAAATTTGATCCACTACCACATAAACTGACATCTTGCAACTTTGATGTAGTTCACAGTTTTTATGCCAGGTGGAGGTAAATAATCTCGTTTGTTTACTCGTTCACTTCATATCTGAAGCAGTAATGAACTCGGGATTTTTATTCGAAATTGTATTAAAATAGTCTTTATAAGACTTGGAGCGAAGGAGGGAGTATCGCATTGTCATAGTTATTGAGGGCCTAAGTTTTGAATCACGATTACAGCATAAAACATGCGAAAATTATGCTAAAATTACGTTCTACAAATTATAACCATATAGTCTCAGCCAGTCCACTTTTCCTCGCCTGTGACAGAATCTGAAGCTTCATTACCGTACTCAAATTATGAAAGCACTCTTCCTATTCTGAGTCAGATGAATCAGTCCACGCCATCATACAAGCTATTAAGATTAATTTTAGTAACATATTTCCATCCACACCTAGGTCTTCCAAGTGGTTTCATGCTTTCAGGCATAACGACTAAAATGGTGTATGAATTGTATTTCTTTTCCATTCGTTACATGCCACTGCTATCTCATGTTATAAGCAGCCAAATAACATTTACTGAAGAGCTCGTCTACAGATTATGAAATTTTTCGTTGCGCATTTCTGGACTCTGTTGTTACACCAGGCCTACCCGAGCTTCGCTTCAGGGGGTAGAAGAATGTATTATGCAAACCAAATATATTACTTACATAGCAACTGAGGGACTAGGCAACAGAGTATCGCAGCTGGGACAGTACTGCCTGTCTGAGCAGAAAACTGACTCGACCTTCAAGCAGAGGTATCCATTTGTGGAGGAACATAGTCGTTCTGAAACGCAGCACAAATACGTGGGCTGACTTTCAGTTCGCCATTAGTTTTCTTGCTTTCTAGTGTCTCGTCTCTCTCTCTTGTATATTTATTTTATTATACTTAAATAATTTAGTATCTAAGTCTGCTCACTGTTAACACACCCAAAATATCAAATATAGTACAGAATGTTTCAATAGTGAGATCATTTTTAGTAGGGAGCAATGTTTTTAGGACAGCGTTCGGCATGAGGTATTGGCTTCAAGGTCTAATAAGTTCTTCGTTCAAACACACAGTATATTCTTCGTAACCTGCTACCTCTCCTGTCTCTCTCTCATCACCCTCTTTGACTTGTGACGGACGTGGAACGCGCAAATTCGCCCCGACTACTGTATTTCTTTCTTAGGTTACGTATTCTCCGTAGACCATGTTCTAACACACATTCAATCTATGTTTTGCCTTGATGTGACAGCCATGTTTCACGCCCACTTGTTATGTTATTCTCCCTTTCATCCCTTCTTCCTTATTCTTTGTTTCCTTTCTTCCTTTTCGCACCTTCTCATTTTTCTTTGTATCTTTCTCCTTCTTCGTGCATTTGTTTTAGATGCACAGTGGCTTACGAGTTAACAAAGAGCACGATGTTAAGATCTAAGTAGCAGCGTATAGCCGGCACGGTGTTCGGCCACCGACCGTATTTGGGGGGGGGGGCCTCATTTCATGCGGCAGATAATGAATAAAGTGAACCACACCCCTCGGCAGAGGGACGCGGTCGTTTGTTTGGAAGGCGAACCTCTTAATGGATTGGAGACAGGAACTTTCATATTTAAACGGTGCAATGCGGTGTCGTTTGGTCAGCGTTTCTTTATCAACTTGAAAAAAAAAGAAGTTTACGCCACATCCTTTCTCAAAAAAACAAAAACATAACAGTTATTCACGTACTTATACATTCTAAGCCACTGATTTTTGTTTTCTGTTAAAAGTTTATTTTATTTCTAAGTGGATCTAAAATGTAACAAATATTTATTTTTAAAATATATAAATATCTCGCGGCTCCCTGGCTTCTGCTTCACTGCCCTTATTTTGAGACGTAATAATCTAAATCGTAGTACTGGAAAGAGATAGTGGTCAGTTTTACGCTGCGTCCGCTTTATCCCACCCACTGTGTGCCCACATAAGCACTCAGTCGAAGTTTTAAAGAAGGACATTGAAGCCTCCTTTGGAAAACAAACCCCGGTCACCGAGAATAAATCTAGTAACTTTATTAGCCGAGCTGTTTCAGATCTTATTATTAAGTAATTAAGTCAACGTTACAGTGAGCTGGAAGGAAACTTGTGAGGTCTGTTCAAGTGGGAAGCCATCTTGAAGAAATTAGTTTTAAATGACCGAGGCTGTGGTGGTGAATGTTGAACTTGCTAATAGGAAAATAATTTCGACAAAGATGGATTTAGTTCGATCTATGTAGGGTGAAATGGGATACATTCCTGATATGAGGGCGTTACTTTAGCATAAATTACAGATAATAAAATACGTAATTGCAACTGTTTGAAAACGAAGCATTTGGGATATAATATAGGCTTGTCGTTTGGTAATGGGAAAATTTAAAATAATGAATTAGGACTTTTGGTGACATTAGAAATCTTCCAGAAAGTATAAAACCTGGTGATCACTCCCCGATAATGTCTTCTTTTTTGGTATTGATACTAAGACCGGCTTTCTTCATGCCAGAAGGCAGCCCTCAACGAAAGGTCGGACTACCCAAGCCTAGGCAGAAGTGATACACTTGTAGTCAACCAGTTTTCGACTGCTTCAGCCTATTGCCTTGCAATAAATATTTTTTAGCTGTTACATTCCAACTTTATTTCACCAAGAAGCGCCACCTGCAGCTCCAAAGGATCCGCTCGCCTTGCCAACCCGTAATCCCAGCCCGGGATGCAACACTACATCTAGGTTGTGCGAGTGCTCTCCCTTACGACTGTCCATTCAAAATATTGTACGTATTTTTAACCTCCCCCAATGCTCGCTAAATGAGGCACAGAACAACAACAACAACAATAATAATAATAATAATAATCACTCAAAACATAATTTGCCAACATCCCGGGCGAACACGACATTAGAGAGCTTCAGAAAACACACATTCTAGGATCATAATAGATCATTGGAAAAACGCCGATGTAAAATATTTAGTCATCTCTAACACTAAAACTATATAATACATGTGGCACTTGCTAAAAACAATATGGATCCCGGAAATAGCTGCTGCCCTATGTACCTTAGGGACAAGGTCTGTCTCGGGTACATGGAAGTACATACCCCATAAAGTGGTGAAGAGATGGGATAATAATAATAATAATAATAATCACTCAAAACATAATTTGCCAACATCCCGGGCGAACACGACATTAGAGAGCTTCAGAAAACACACATTCTAGGATCATAATAGATCATTGGAAAAACGCCGATGTAAAATATTTAGTCATCTCTAACACTAAAACTATATAATACATGTGGCACTTGCTAAAAACAATATGGATCCCGGAAATAGCTGCTGCCCTATGTACCTTAGGGACAAGGTCTGTCTCGGGTACATGGAAGTACATACCCCATAAAGTGGTGAAGAGATGGGATAATAATAATAATAATAATAATCACTCAAAACATAATTTGCCAACATCCCGGGCGAACACGACATTAGAGAGCTTCAGAAAACACACATTCTAGGATCATAATAGATCATTGGAAAAACGCCGATGTAAAATATTTAGTCATCTCTAACACTAAAACTATATAATACATGTGGCACTTGCTAAAAACAATATGGATCCCGGAAATAGCTGCTGCCCTATGTACCTTAGGGACAAGGTCTGTCTCGGGTACATGGAAGTACATACCCCATAAAGTGGTGAAGAGATGGGATAATAATAATAATAATAATAATCACTCAAAACATAATTTGCCAACATCCCGGGCGAACACGACATTAGAGAGCTTCAGAAAACACACATTCTAGGATCATAATAGATCATTGGAAAAACGCCGATGTAAAATATTTAGTCATCTCTAACACTAAAACTATATAATACATGTGGCACTTGCTAAAAACAATATGGATCCCGGAAATAGCTGCTGCCCTATGTACCTTAGGGACAAGGTCTGTCTCGGGTACATGGAAGTACATACCCCATAAAGTGGTGAAGAGATGGGATAATAATAATAATAATAATAATCACTCAAAACATAATTTGCCAACATCCCGGGCGAACACGACATTAGAGAGCTTCAGAAAACACACATTCTAGGATCATAATAGATCATTGGAAAAACGCCGATGTAAAATATTTAGTCATCTCTAACACTAAAACTATATAATACATGTGGCACTTGCTAAAAACAATATGGATCCCGGAAATAGCTGCTGCCCTATGTACCTTAGGGACAAGGTCTGTCTCGGGTACATGGAAGTACATACCCCATAAAGTGGTGAAGAGATGGGATAATAATAATAATAATAATAATCACTCAAAACATAATTTGCCAACATCCCGGGCGAACACGACATTAGAGAGCTTCAGAAAACACACATTCTAGGATCATAATAGATCATTGGAAAAACGCCGATGTAAAATATTTAGTCATCTCTAACACTAAAACTATATAATACATGTGGCACTTGCTAAAAACAATATGGATCCCGGAAATAGCTGCTGCCCTATGTACCTTAGGGACAAGGTCTGTCTCGGGTACATGGAAGTACATACCCCATAAAGTGGTGAAGAGATGGGATAATAATAATAATAATAATATCGGGTCTCACCTCGGCACTCTTGGAGCGTTGGTCGGCCACCTGCACGGTGTCATCAGGCGGCAGGCGCCAGGAATTTCGCTCCACATTGGTGGCATGCATGGCGCTCCACCTGAAACACAGGGACCGAGCTCTCTCAACCGTGCACAATACAAAATACCATAAAATATCGAATACGACATGATAAAAGGGCTTTGTGTTTCATATAATTTCGTTACAGAATAAATACCAACAAATAGTACCTTCCTAGAAATCTATTAAATTCTAATTGCGTTTATTTATTGAAACAGTCTAAAAGGATTAGAGAGGTGGGGCATATAGCACGCACAAGACCGACGCTATATTCATGTATACAATTTAAGTTCATAATCTGAATGAAAAAAGCTCTTTGAGGACAGGTGTTGTTAGGATTTTAGTTTTATTCATAGTTTCCTCAGTTTCTCCACGAAATTGCCGTAATAGTACCTTATATTAGGCCACGACCACTTCCTTTTATATACCTTACAATTTATTACTCATATATCATTTCTCATCTTGTGCTTATGATCTGAGCTGCTGGCGGCGACGTTTAACAGAATATAAGAAATAAAAAGACCAAGATATTTAAAAACGTGTGAAACAGATTTGTTTAACTACGAGTAGAGAACACTGGTGGGCTCTTGTGAAGACGGTAAACGATAATGAAGCTTCGTGTTCCATAAAGGACAGATATCATCTTGACAGTTGGGCGACTAAAAGCTATTAGTCTAATAGCAATTTTTAATAAAATCCGTCGGTTGGTTTCGTAGCTATTAGGGTGGACAGACACGTGATCGTGTCATAAGCCTCTTTTACCTTTGAAAAATAAGAAAGAAGTTAATGGAATATTAACTGCAGACTTCAATATTGTAGTTTCTTTACGGAGACTCTCCAAAACAATTCCTGAAATGAAATATTACAACATGGCCGTACCATGGATTTAATAAAAATGAACCATTGGGTCCAAGAAATCATTTAGTTGGGCCCATACACTCTCTGGCTTTTATGAAATATAACAGTTTTCATCAGGAAGCATTATTGTTTCTCGCAACCATGGCAACCGAGATACAGACAGATGTTACAGAGGGTTGCTCATGCGTCCTTCCTTCCCTCAATTCGATTATGTCGGGACCATGATCGATGCTGTCCGTGATTGGAAACATGATTCCAGGTCAACCATATTGATGCAGAGAAACTAAGGAAACACAAAGAATTTTACACAAGTGGAATATGTTCCAGTATTCATTGTGTGTAGTCTATCGTCAGTCGGACGCTTGCATAGTTCTTGAGTGGCTATTGACAAGCTCAGCTAGTCAAGAACTCCAAATTCATTCTTTAATTTTTTTGAATTACAAATGCCTTGATTCTCGATGTTGTATATAACCTATTCAGTTGATTGAGAGTTGGCGAATAGATAACGTAGTATTGCTTTCCTTTGAGCTAACTCAAAACCTACAGCTAAATAGAATAGAGTTTGAAGCTTTTACAGTACGCGACTGTAATCTTGAGACTTGGAAGGAATGCAGGAAGTCCGAAGCGTTAAAGGCGGACGCTATCTTTCCTCCTTCCACCTTCACCCCATCTCCTCACCCCGCAAGTCTCAAGATTACAGTCGCGAACTATAGTTCGGTTTGCTATGTTTTAAAATACCAAAATTTATTATCCGACAAGAACATCACCGCTCAATTTCCTTTCAACAGACATCGGTGAACTTTGCCCTAGGTAAAGCTGCAGGACTTTTTATTATTTACACATATATATATATATGCCCTATGATTATGTAATTCTGTAAATATATACTTATCATATGTACATGTAGTTCTATAGATATATGATTATTATTTATCATATTTTCGTGTGATTCTGTAGCGCTGTACTTTTCATGTTTCCGTAATTCTGCAGCTCTATAATTCTCATATGTTTGTGTAATTCTTTATATATGTATATATATATATATATATACTACCTACTAAGCACTAGTGGAAGTCAGTTTGGGTTGCTGTGGGAATTCATAAATTTTCCGGTCCATAAAACAGTCCTCAACTTAGGAGTATCGTAAATAAAAGAGAAATTCATTGCGTTCCATTCGGGACACCGGTAGACACGGAATTTTAAATCTCTCTGGTCTGCTCACTCAGGAGATGTTGGTTTGGAGTTATAGCGTCACTGCGACTGCCAATCTGAAGTCCACCTGAAAACTGAGCGGCGAGACTTAAAGTCGGTTTATTCGTATCTTTGTTTCAAGTGAGCATTTCAGTAAATAAAAAAAAAGTGTTGTACGGTTTTTCTTACTCAGCTGGGCAAGAAATTTTCTGCTTTTATGCAACTTGAAGAGTGAGTGCAGTGTTTGAGTAAATTCGCGAATGTGGGTAAATAAATACGATTAATAATTTTTTAAATTGTGGAACCAACTAAGAGTTCTTTAATATACCACAGTACAAAAAGATATATGCATTACTCAGTTTATGCTAACAATGGGAAATTTAGAGGTTCACGGTGTTAAGTGGATTTAAATTAATATTGAGAAAAATTCCGCCCGTCTAAAGACTAGTTAATATTTTAACATTACATTCATACATCCTTTTCATCCATGTGTATTTCATAATAATATAAATATAATATTCTCCAGCGATGTTAAAATATATAACAGCTTTGTGTGTCCGTTTTTTATGGGCTTTATCAGGCTTCAAGAGTATTGGAAGCTTATAAAATACACCTAAACAATTACCATTTATAGCCACAATTTTTCAGTAACTTTTCTACTTTTAAGAGAACGCAGACTTACACCTTAATGTGTTTTATGTTCAGTATTCAAACAGTTATGATATATGAACCCAGTCGCAAAATTGGAACTCTATTATAGACAGCTTCTATAACACATTTCTGTATGGAAGCCATAAAATACTGAGATGACTTTTACTTTACTTTGTATTAAACTATTTCTCACGAAAAACTGGGAAAAAAAGCAAGAGCTCAGTCTGTCCACATGCCGCATTGTGGATACATCGGCAGCCGAACGGCGTTGTTGCGAGTTCGCAACTCTTCCTTGTGTTGTGTTGTGTTGTAACTGAGTTTGTGATAGATAAAAGGAAAGCGCTGATTTCTATAGCCAAGTTTGGAAATTAATGTACAGTATTCATGAGTGCTTAATTCTTTGCATGTAAATACATGTAATGAAACAATTTGCATTCACTGAAAAAGAACGTTGAGCAATGCTACATTTGGCACCGCTGTATGTTCTATGTTCCGTTGCTTCCATCCCCTCTTCTTCTTTCATTGATTTTTGCGGATTATCCTTAGTTTTGATTATCCGGGAAAATAAATTTCTCAACCGGCCCAAATAATCGGGAGTTTATTGTATAATGGGATGAGAATGAAATAAGATTCAGACCGAACATAACCAACGAGATGGATGACTAAGGACAGGTTGTGGAGGGGACCCACACCAGCGATGCACTCCTCCTCCAGTCCTGTCTGCTGTGTGGGTCACATATGAGTCGTTCTGTGTTTTCCACATTTGTAACGGCAACGGCACCAAAATATCTCTCGCCTTATACTCTCGGCAACTTCTCCGACAGCTGTGTAATGCCTGTAGTCGAAATGAACTTTCTAGGGGAATGTAAACTGAAGTCTATACTGCAGCATTCTGGTTGTTATGTTGATTCCTGGTTTTTCTTGTTCGTCTTTTTCACACACTCAGTTTACTGCTCATTCATTAGAATTTCATATTTCGGTCCAAAGTGGACATCATCAGGTTCAATTCCCTGCATTTGTGTCATTGCACTGGATTTTGTGTTTTCTCCTCCTGATGTCAGAAAATAATTATAAAATTATGTGGTAAACGTTTTAAATTAGTTAAAGCAGTCAAAAGGTTAAAAATGTTAATTTAAAAAGTTCTTTAAAGCTTTTTGCACAGTTTGGTGAGTCCCGCAGCACGAAACATAAAACTCTTCAAAACACGCCAGAAGATGTACCCAGTATGAAGTTCCTTGTTATGTAATTGTGTCTTTCCTCTTAGATCCATTCGTTTCAGCACCTTATACCAACGTCAACAATGTGTTCTTCCTTTAACAAGCTTATAGGAGACTAAGTTTCATACCCAGGGGTGCTCAGCGAAAATATTAACCCTTTGTTGACTAGTGTTCTCCGGGTTATAAATGAGGTTAGTTTATGGGAATATTAAGCCAATGCATTAAAATACCACAAACGTATTACCGTAAGCATGTCGACATATTAATCGATAATTTTCCTTAGCAAATTTATTGATTTACTATTATTAATTACTTACTTAATATTAAATATTTAATTTAGGCGGTAACTGCTTTTAATTATACAGAGTGGGGGGAAGAGGTGCCACAGTTCCTACTCATTCTTGACCTTGGCACTAGATGGGGGTGAGTGGTCAGCATCATGCACTGCCTGCAGTTTCCCCTTGGGCAAAAAAACCCTGTACCCATTGGATAGGAGGCTGGGTGGGCCCCAGAGCCGGTCTGGACACAGAGGCTAGAGGAATAATCCTCTGCCCCCGTCGGGGATCGAACCCCGGTCGTCCAGCCCGTAGCTAGTCACTATACTGACTGAGCTATCCCGGCTCATATACAGAGTGATACAATGTTATAAAAATATACGGAGATGCACAAAGAACATCGACGGCCGTCTGAGTGTGTAGTAACGCAGAAGTTCTTCAGTGTTCGGTTCGTGATATTTAAGGTTCCGAATTTTATGGTCCACACGTTTGCTGTAAGATGTATATTGACAGTAATGATTATATATTGAGATTACGTATTAACTTCTCTGTACATATATGTATATGGTTATAATTATATAACTTATGTCTCATAAATAAAAGAAAATAACTTTATTAGATGCTAATGACAGAGTAGGTCTGAAAACAGACTGAAAGAAATCTAAATAGACATACGTCAATGTCTAGTCGCTAGAATGTAGGACATCGTTATTACCACAGACGCGGGTGTGCGTGTGTAACAAAATGGTGTCATGTCTCTTATCTTCAGGAAACAATTTGTTGTTTGTATGTTAATGAGTATAAATGCATGCATAAAGTTTTAATATTAATGCAGCTTATTCGATACTTCATTTCATTTCGAACTGTTATGAACTTCTTTGTATAAACGTAAGAGTTCATTAATATCGCTGCAATCTTTTACTAGAGTTTCTGCACCTTCACAAACGTCACGTGACGAATTTTTCATTAACAATAAAGATTGTTTAGAGAACTTACCGAACGTCTTCTGGTCCAATAAACCAATTACGGATACGGGATAAAACATGCCTCTTCGTGGTTTTATTTTCTACCAGCTCCATGTGGATTTTGCTAGTATCCAACTAAACTCGCCGACTCATTAGGCGTGTAGTGAGGATTCGCTACAATCTAACAGTTCGCAGAGTAAAATTCTGACATGATACGTGATCGAAACTTGTGGCAGAGTGATTAATATTTTGCTTCGTATTGGGAGGACCCGCGTTTATATCTTGGTCCGCTGATCGACTTTCCTGGCTCTGGGTTTCAGTGGTATTTTTCGGTTTCTCCAAGAAAATAACAGGACTGTAGCTGGAATAAGAACAAGTGTAATATGTAAAATTGTCCTTTTGGAATTTTCTATCATCTAAATTATAAAATAATGAAACTGCGTTCAGAAACCTTCTTCCATCCTTGTTGGTGTCGGTTTCAGATCAATATGACAGTCACTTGTCAACCCGATAAGCCTTAACTGACAGCAGCGCTCTTTTAGTAGATTGCGTTTTGCTGTGATCCTAACTGCAATGTAGCAACAATGTTTGACATAACAACAGTTAGAAATCCATCCCCATTAAAACCGATCTTAATCCTTTAAAGCGCAGTGGTAACCATATCTGTTACCTGATTTAAAAATAAGCAACTCTTCATTTTGTAATTATATGTTTCATATGATTCTCATTATAATCAAAGATCAGTTCGAAGATGTCTAGCTTATGGAGTGTAGTGCCGTGTAGTCTGATAGAAGTTTAGAAACGTTTCAGAGGTCCTTGTTGTCTCTATCATTAGGGAGATGAGACTTATCGCTCGCCGCGATAATCTCAAATTCTACTTAGGAACTATTTACTTTAACAGAATTTACCAATTGAGCTTTAATAGGGAAGTGTTGTGGTTTCTTTTAAGTAGAGGCTGAACTCTTAAATGTTACTTAGACGAGCTGCTGCTTCAAGAGTTTAATATATTTTGAACAAGGCCGGCGTATTTTAGTCAGCAATCTCTCTACTGCCCATGTAATTAGCGGCAAAGATCCAAAAAAGCTGTTGAACCTAGATTATTAAATACTTAAATGAAGATTCCACAAGACTGAACGTGGTCAGAATTCCATCAGGCGGAAAGTTAACACGCTTGCACGACTTAAGTAATGACACGCCATTGCCCAGCCGAAAACCAATATCAAGTTTGTTTTGACTGCTACTTTGTCGACATCTATCGGAAGATGCCGGTAGCAACCACCGAATCATTTCCCATAACCTTATCTGTAACACTTTGCTCATTTCCCCTACAGTTGTGTCAACGAATTGTTTACATCTGCTGGAAGAAGTGGTTAACTGCCATACTGTGAATTCAATAACATTATTCTCAATAATTTCAGCTAAAATCAAAAGCTTCTGAACAAATTGTAATAAGAACGGAGTGTAAAAAATGTCATAACGATGTATCTTATGACACGTGTTTTCAAACTTTTACAGAGGATATGGAGCTGCATCACCCGGTTTTATCAACGAATCGCAGGTCGCGTTTGTGCTCTTGAGGACAGTTTATTGAAAATTTATGGTAAGTTATTAAAATTCCATTACGTTAGACCAACTATTGTAGTAAGTGTGGTTCCAATATGCTACTCAGTGTTTTTAAAACAAAATTAGTTATAAGTAAGATATTTTAAAATCCTTTTCCTTAAGTAATCTTTCAATATCATTGTGATATTCTGTTTTTGCGTCTTGCAACCCTCCAAATTTTCATAATTCCTGATTTTGACCTTCATTAAGAAGTAGCCTGTTGGTGTTCAAGTTTTTCATACCAAGAGTACTGCCGAACACTGGTGATATTAACAAACAAGTAATTAAATATCAAATCTAAAACTTCTTGACGATGGTGAAGAGTTAATTGAATAAACATTTTCTTGGATATTATCCATCGTCTAGTATATATATAAAACGTAAAACGACGTTTCGGAGATGGGACTCTATCTCCGGTCCGGCCCAACTGTGTAGGAACCTGAAGACGGAGATAGAGTCCCATCTCCGAAACGTCGTTTTACGTTTTATATATACTAGACGATGGATAATATCCAAGAAAAGTTTTATTCAATTAACTAATTAAATATTTCTATCGTGTAGAGAGACACAGTGTTAAAAATGTCTATATATAATTTACTTATTAATGACATATTAATTAAACAGATTGTATAGCAATGAACGAAGTATTCTTGACTAATTTTCAATGTTCGATTAAGGAGATTGGAGATAAAACGATCACGAAGTGTTCTGAGGTTTGAAGCAGAGGTCGAAACTATAAAATCTGTGAGAATATCTGGTATATGGAATAAGCATCGAACTGTGTACAACCCTCACACAAAGCATAAACAACATTTGCTCTAAAGTAAATAAGACGTTTTAAAGCCAATAATAAAGTAACTATATGGCAGACTTGTTTATTTAACAGACACCACCAAAAATATTTGTATTGAAATTTTTCTTTTTAGATTATGTCAGTGTCCTACGTTGTGCAAATGTATTTATGCTATCAATTTATTTCATACTATGTGTAATTAGAGTGGAAATTACTAAGATTTTTTTGTAAATTAGCAGTGATACGATACGCAACTTCCCGCGTATAATCAACTAAACCGTTTTAGTTGAGGGATAGCGGCGAAATGAACTGTTCATCTGGGAAACTGGCCGCATGCAGTCCAACAACTGATTGTTATTACAAGGCAGAGGAAACCAACGCGTACGGGCCATAGACCTTATTGTTCTGGAACAGGAGACATATTCAAGGCAATGACAGAAGTAGTTCAGGGAGCTGATACGTCTCAGAAAATCGATTATAGGATAGGGAGCTAGCCTCGTGTATTTCATGAGCTGATGGTCATGGCAGATGACTAATGCAACTGGCGACATCATTCATAGATCTGTGTTATTAGCCATTTAAAACACAGTGGTACTTACCTGTACCACAAGATTTAACATTCACTGCCTTTGAATTTTCCCACAGAATCTATTTATGGGTTTATAATGAGTCTCATATTTAACAGCGATTATTTTCTTAAAGAACAGTATCCATTTGACTGTGTTTTCTTTTAGGAACTGGTAATAAGTTTTTGAGTAATATTTACAAATCTATATTTAGAACTGTTCTCAGGGAAAAGGTAATTTGAGTTGGAGAATAAACGAATTCTGTGTCCTTGAGATAACTCGAATAAATCTGTGCCACAGTGCAAGGAAACACCAGCGGCCAACAACGACTGCTTAAATCATAGACATGCGTAGTCTCAGAATTATTTATTGTACTCCAGAACAACCAAATTTCAAAATGGATACATTTTAAGTACAATAGCCCTTCTCGAAAACATTTTCCAATTTGAAGATTACTGGCTGTTGTGCTACGCAGTCTGGTAGAAATTTACCGAAGTTTCAGGGATGTTTGCTGCCACCATCAGAGCTCTGATGATGGATGACTAGACTACACGGCACAACAACTCATAAGACAGCCAACTTCTTAGTTGTTAATTATGTTTTCTTTTTCCTTTGCTTAGTCTCCAGCGCTACTAGATTTTAACAAAACTTAGTAGTCTGTTGATGGGCTGCACTAAAACTTGTCGGGAAAATTTGATTCTGGTTCGTATTAGTCCAGTATAGTCACCATTTTAAACGGACATAAAATTTTCTTATCCGCCATGCGCGCTACATGCCCCGTCCATATGTGCTTATGAATAGACACAATGATTGGAGTTTTTATTGAATAATAACATGCATTTCCGGGGTTAATTCACTATGTAGTTTTACGGTAAATATCATTTCTGTTTATTATTGTTCTTACTTATTGTAATACGTAGTTCGTGCAGAAAGTTTTATCACAGTTAATTGCATTCAGGAGGTTGCTTTCCAGATACGGTTCCTACAAAGTGACGTTTTAGAGCTACAAATAGACATCACGCTATTCAGGAAATGGAGTTCTGATTTTGCTCACAATATAAATAGAAGGCCACACAGACATGTTTTTATTGCTCCTTGTCACGAATTCCCGCTATGGAAAATTGCGTTGCAGAAGTTGGCTTCGATTGCATGATTTTATCTCCTCCAACCCCCTTCTTTTCTGCAAGCCAGTAGCGTCTGTGGGAACAGTCCGCACGTAATTGTAATAACTAGCATTGGGCAGTGGTACAAATACTTTCTAGTCTGGAAACTGGAGTGTAATTAAGACAGTTAACACCGAAAAAATGTAAAATGATACTTTCCAGATGCCTAAATGATCTTGTGTAATCTTAAGACCTGATGTCCTTGGCGAGAGAATGAAGTAGCTGATTGTGTTCCGTTGTTTCTTAAGGGAGATGGTAAAATTATTTTTGGAAGGCCTATAGTTAACATCTAGCAGTCGATATTCATCTGTTGCATAAAACTTACTGTTTCACATGACACAAAATTTCCCATACCGTTAGTACCCGTGCGTCGAATTTGATGCAGTCAATTTATTTCAAACCCTTCATACATTTTCTTAATACGCGTTGAAGATTGTCTACCTATTTGTCTCGGTATACGAAGTAATATCTTCTGTAGGTATTCTTCAAGTATCTTAGTTCTGCTGAACTTATCACTGTGAATGAAGACTATTTGAGACAGTTTCCTTAATTTAATAAAATTAGAAAACAGCAAGAATCGCTATGTGATTTAGGTTATGTCCACTCAGACAATTTAATTTAATTATGGTAGCCTATAGTAAACAGTGTGTCCGTAAAATAATGGTGGGGTAACAAACAGTCATAGTATGTGCCTTACACGGCATGAACCATGTTTATACTGAGAGACGAATATGAACTTCTTGATTTATTCTTAAATTTATGGAAAATTATAAATTTTAAGAATTTATACTGTACTATGCAGCAAGCCGGGTTAAACTTAACAATTGTCAGTCCATATACATCCAGATTTAAGTCTACATATGCTTTGTCTGGGTCTTACACTGGCCAGCGTGTGTTTTAAATTAATGTTTCGCAATTCTCACGTTTCTTATTCTTCTTCTTTTTTGCAGTAAAGAGAAAAGGGTGGGGTAAGTTGTTTAGCCCACACCCCTGGAAGCTATTTGTCTCTTTCTCGTGTAGTTTACGTCAGGCGTTTTAGCTCTGCAACAGTGACAACACGTTTGTTACGGTGGACTGCATTTTTTCAGTTTCAGAGTGTCTGTGAAAATTGTAAGGAAGCAAGAAATCCTAAATCCGCATTGTATTTATTGTCAGGTGCAGAAGGAACTGGGTCTCGATTTTTTAAAAAGTATGATGTAGCAATTTGAAAGCTTAGTTCACAGTGTGACGGAGGGTG